AGACCAGCCCTAACTTTGGAAAAAAGTGAGTTTACCAGAAACTAAAACAGCTGAATGACAGAATGATTCAGATCGGATGCAAGTGCAATATAATTCATAACTGTTAAAAATGGCATGAAAACTTTGAGTTTTGACATTGAATGTATGATTCTGAAAGTGTATAGTGCAGGGGTCGGCAACGTTCGGCACGCGGCTCGCCAGGGTAAGCACACCCAGCACATCGCTCGCATGCACTGCTTCTCGCCGCCCCCATTGGCCTGGGACGGCGAACCGTGGCCAGTGGGGGCCGCAATCGGCCGAACCTGCTGCGTAAGCAGGTAAATAAAACTGGCCCAGCCCGCCAGGGTGCTTACCCTGGCGAGCTGCGTGCCAAACATTGCCGACCCCTGGTATAGTGAGTTCTCTTCCTCCACTAAAAAGAGAATTTTCTCAATTCATTTTTTTGACTGTGTACAAATTGAATAAATGATGTGTCAATAGAAGAGGTTTTAGAACAAACTGACAAACAGTTAAAAAGTCACCAGGATCAGATGGTATTCACCCAAGAGTTCTGAAGGAACTTCAATCTGAAATTGCAGAACTACTAACTGTAGTATATGTAATCTATTGCTGAAACAGGCCTGTGTACCAGATGACTGGAAGATCGCTAATATAACACCAACTTTTTAAAAGGGTTCCAGAGGCTATCCTGGCAATTACAGGCTGGTGCGCCTAATATCAGTACCAGTCAAATTGGTAGAAACTATAACAAGTAACTGAATTATTAGACACAAAGATAAACACAATTTGTTGGGGAAACATGACATTTGAGAGGGAAATTCTTTGAGGATGTCAACAAGCATCTGGATAAGGGTGATGCAGTCGATATAGTTACTCCTGCGGGAATTCTGTGCCTAAAAATTCTGTGCACAATATTTTAAAATTCTGCAAAATTCTGCATATTTTATTTGTCCAAATAACAATATAATCATACCCGTTTCAATTATTTTTGGTCATTTGTTTAAAAATACCTGTCAGCAAGTATGTCTGTAATAATACAGACAACAAAAAAGATTCAGGAAATGTTTTTTGACAAATAGATTCTTTACTAGGCATATTAATACAGAACTCTGAGTAATAATTCAATTAAACTACAATACAGAACCATATTTCCCACGCCCTGCAGAAGAAGTGCAAAGGCTTGGGGAGTCAAGGGTAACGGAGCTGAGGGAGAGGGAAGTAAATTGCTGGGAAGGAGCCTGTGTGTGAACTAGGAGGGTTGTTGGGTATGGGTGAGAAAAGTATGGAACATTTAGGGGGAAGGGGAAGGATTATTAGGGAGCTTCCCCCATGCAGACCCTGGCTGACCCCTAACCTCTCCCATTCAGTCAGGCATATCTGCCCCTGTCCCCATGTGTTCCTGCACCTCCACTCAGACACCCCCCCCCCATCCCCATATGGCTCTGTACCTCCTCCCTGGTCCCCATGTGTATCTGTGTCCCCACCCAGCCACTCCACTGTCCCTATGGAGCTCTGCACCCCCTTCACCATCACCATGTGGCCCTGCACCTCCCTCCCCCTTGTAGCCTGTGCCTCCACTCCCATTCAGCTTCTGCCCCAGTCTGTCCTTCCCTTTCTGACCCCGCCCCCAGCACCCCATGCTGTCTTTCTCCCAGTAGCCCCTGTCTCCTGATCTGGCCTTACAGGTACTGTGAAGAAGTCAGGCTCTTTCTCTTCCCTGGCTGTCTGGGAGCTGCTGCTTTGTTCTGTCGCTACAGAGCCCTCTGGTGGACAAAAGCTGGACCTGTGGCAACATTTCATCAGAAGCTTTTTTCTGTGCAAAAAATTAAAAATATGCACAGCTCTTTAATTATGTACATGCACAGTATTCTCACAGGAGTAATATAGTGTACTTTTTTTTCCAGAAAGCTTTTGGCAGGTTCCCTCACCGCAGGCTTTTAAGTAAGCAGTCATGGGACAACAGGGAAGGTCCTCTTATGGGTCAATAACTTGTTAAAAGATAGGACAGAAAGAGTAGCAATAAATACTAAGTTTTCACAGTGGAGTAGGGTCCCCTAAGGATCTGTTCTGGGACATGTGCAGTTCAACATATTCATTTGTGATCTGGAAAAGGGAGTTAATGTGAAGTGGCAAAGTTTGCAGATGGTACAAAGTTATTCAAGATAGTTAAGTATAAAGCACACTCTGAAGAGTTACAAAGGAATCTCACAAAAACTGAGTGACTGGACAACAAAATGGCAGATGAAATTCAACATTGATAAATTCCAAGTAATGCACCTTGAAAAAAATAATCCCAACTATACATATATAATGATGGGTTCTAAATTACCACTCAAGAAAGAGATCTTGGGGGTGATTATGGATAGTTTTCTGAAAAGTTCAGCTCAATATACATCAATGGTCCAAAAGGCTAACAATGTTAGGAACGATTATGAAAGGGATAGAAAATATCATAATGCCAACTATATAAGTTCATGGTGTACCTACACCTTGAATACTGTGTCCAATTCTGGCTGCCTTATCTCAAAAAGGATATAGTGGAACTGGAAAAGGTTCAGAAAAGGGCAACAAAGATGATCAAGGCTATGGAATGGCATCCATAAGAGGACAGACTAAAAAGATTAGGGCTGCTCTTAGAAAGGAGATGATTGGGGGTATATGATAGAGGTCTATAAAACTTTGACTGGTGTGGGGGAAAAAGTGTTATTTACCCTTTCCCATAATACAAAAACCAGGGATCACCCAAAGAAATGAATAGGCAGCAGGTTTAATATAAACAAGAGGAACTACTTTTTCACACAATGCACAATTAACCTGTGGAACTCATTGCCATGGGATGTTGTGAAGGTCAAAAGCATAACTGGGTTCAAAAAAGAACTAGATAACTTCATGGAGGATAGGTCCATCAATGCCTGTTAGTCAAGCTGATTAGGGATCAACCCCATGCTCTGG